GAACACAATATTCACAGGTTATCTTATTCCTGTGGTCTGTTGATCGCTTTCTTTCAAATTCTTTGAGCAAGCATCGGATGAAAAACTTGTCTGGTGTCATTCGTTAGCGGCCGTTGAAACTTCACGGGCCGGCTCACGAGTGACGTCATAATGGCCAAGATCATTGGGCGCGTAATCGCATGGCAATGGCAACGCAAGCGAAGTTGACCTCTCCCTCCTGGTCGTCCCAGACTCGCGCGGGTACAAGCTCCGCTGGTCAAGGGGAACGAACACTCTGGGAACAAGGTTTCTTACGTTCTCTGACGTTCTCTTTGATTTTGCTCTTGCAATTGCGTTCGTGTTTTCAAAAATGGTAGGATACAAGATTTTAGAAGTAGATCGGGAAAAAATAGGTAAACATCCTATTCTGAAGGACCACTCGAAGCAGCTTTTCTGTCCAATCTGTTGCTTCTTGGTGAGGGAACCGATCGGCGTAGCGTCATGTCCTCATCGATTTTGCAGTTCTTGCTTGTTGGAAAGGTAAGCTTAAGCTAAGATTTATCACGAGAATAATAAACAAACTGAAAAAAAAAAAAAACTATGGCAGGAGCCCATCATGACATCATGAAGACCACGAAATCATTGTTAGGCTTTGATTGCGCGGGAAGTTCGGGTTTTCGCGGATGTTTTGACGTCGCGGGAAGATCTGATCTTCAGTCGCTTTTGTAGATATAGGTGGACTGACTTGAGGGCAATCAAACTCTTGAACGCGGTTATAACTTCAAGATGTTCTTTCGATTTTCGCGTCACAGTGTTGTAAGTATGAGGGAGGCAGCCCTGTTTAAAAGTACATTGCGTATGCAGGGATCCAAATATCCTCCGAGCAGCTTGCTTTACGGTGGTTTTCGTGCACAAGTATTTGGGTCTTTTAGCCTTCGAGTTTCTTTCGCTAATGGCCAGTTCGCTATCGGTCCGCCAACGGATAAGATTAGTTCGCCAACGTTTCTTCTTTCTGGTGAAGCGAAGTGATTGATCTTTTAAAATGATCTTTTAAAATGATCTTTCAAAATATATATATTTGTTAACTGCCACTGAAGCTTTAAAACTTAATTCCTTATAAATTATACTGGTTGCACAAATGTACCTATCGGTAAGTGCCAACGAGTGAATTGAGTTAGTAAACAAGAGTCGATTGAATTATGTATAGGATACTTCTAGTATAACAGGTGTTAAAGTCAGTTTCTTTTAGTTAATGTTTCAAATTATTGCTGTAATAAACACAACATTGTTTATTTATCAACTTAGTGAGTGAACAAAACGCTAAACACTTTTTTTGTATTTTTAAAAATCATGCTTATTATACTTCCAGTGTAACAGGTGTTAAAATCAATTTCCTTTCCCTCGTTCGGTGATTATTTTGGTAAGTGCTTAAGTAATTTGCCTACCATTCTGCTTTTTGAGGTGTATACATCTTGGATTTGTTGTTATTGAATCGTACAAGTGTTACATAAAGCTGAACAAGACCCGAGTTGTTTTCTGGAATGAATTCGAGTGTTGTTGATTTGATATTCAGGGTAACATTCAGGATTTGTTTGCCATCTGTTCGACGAATTATTTCAGTAAGTGGTTTGCCTGACATTCTGCTTTTTGAAGGTGAATGTAACTTGGATTTGTTGTGATTGAATCGAATAATTGGAAAACCTCATTTAGGTATTTATTCAAGCGAAAGCGCCCTTTGAGAGTAAATTAAACAAACAACATTGATAATCTTTGTCGTATTAAGCTTACATGTAAGCTGGTTTTACATTGTTCTTTGCTCAACACTTTTGTCTCCATGAAAAGCATTAAATCAAAGTTACATGCACCTCATTGGTCATTTACTAACTTATTTTACAATTGTACATTCACCTTCTAAAAGCAGAATGTCAAACAAACTACTTACCGAAATAATTCGTCGAACGGATGGCGAACAATTGTACAAATTCTGAGTGTTACCCTGATTCAAATAAACAACACTCGCATTCATTCCAGAAAACAACTTGGGTCTTGTTCAGCTTTAACAATTGTACGATTCACTCACAACAAATCCAAGATGTATACGCCTCAAATAGCAGAATGGCAGGCGAGTACTTACCAAAATAATCGCCCAATGAGGTTCCGCACCCAGGAGAGCTGAACAAATATTGAAGCCTTGTGATGTCACAAAGTATACTAGTGTTCAGATTGGTTCGTACAATATATCAACAACATCTGGCTACATTCTAATGTGGCCTAAAAATATCACTGACAGAACCGGATTATGCGAAAATCGAGCTGAAAGATCTGAGATTTTTTCTGCATAGTCATCAAACTATGCACGGCTCTATATCCTGCTGCCTCGACAGGCTTACGTTTTTGATCGCCTGTCTCGTTGGCAATAAGCTTACGGTATATTATGTAGGTTATGATTTTGCTGTGAACCAGCTGAACTCGATCAACAAACGGCGCTTCAAATGTCTCGGAAGATCAAACTAAGGGCGAATTCCATTCACTCTTACCTACTTTTAACTACTCGTGGACGAACCTAAAACAGGTAGAATTCTCACTCAACCACCACTGACCTTCATGCAAGCGGTGAAAACTGGAATTACCACAAAAGAATGCTAGAAAAGTTTCCTAGCATTCCAAACATGACCTAACATACCTAACCCCAGGTTGCCTCGCCTTGAGCCGGGCAAGGTGTTATACTATGTTTCATTGTTATATAAATGTCATTATATCTGAAGAACCAGATGAAGGGGAATAAATATGAGAAGAGAGAAATATAAAGGACCAACTGATATGTGTCATCAAAATGTTATTGAAGTGTGCTCTCGTTTCACACACAAACAATAGTTCCTTTCTTCGGTCAGGCCCCTTGTGTGACAGATGACAATAATGATCAAATGAGACCACTACAAGACAGTAAGTGAATGCTGAAGTAATTGCAACTTAATTGAACAAATAAAACCTGAGTCTCTTGCCTCCTTCAAAATGCATTTCTTTCTCAAAAGATTTTAAAGGGCGTGGATGCTTTTAAAGCAATCTAATTTTAAAATGCTATGGAGAGGAACAACCATTAATTGTAAACAAAATTGCAGTGATGGTCTAACAGAAAAATGTGTGTCCAACGAATGCAAAATCGATCTGAGGGATCTAAATGTGGAATACAGTTGGTGGTGGAAGCTACGGACAGTGTTTACACGCTTGCTATTGGTGCATTGATGTGTAGCAAATGATAGTAATGCCTTGTTACATTAAACAAAACATCAAGCTGCATGATTATTTCTTTCGCGTTACATCAAACTGTATAAGGTGTGTCACCTGCCAGTTCTGATGGACAAAACATTAAAGCTGCATGATTATTTATTTCACGCTACATCAAACTGTATGAGGTGAGTCACTCACCAGTTCTGATGGACAAAACATTAGGCTGCATAATTATTTCTTTCGGGTTACATTGATCTGTATGAGGTGGGTCAGCCGCCAGTTCTGATGGACAAAACATTAAGCTGTGTGATTATTTATTTTGTGTTACATCAAACTGTATGAGGTGTGTCACCCACCAGCTCTGATGGACAAAACATTAGGGTGCATGATTATTTCTTTCATTGAACTGTATCAGGTGGGTCACCTGCCAGTTCTGATGGACAAAACATTAAGCTGTGTGATTATTTATTTTGTGTTATATCAAACTGTATGAGGTGTGTCACCCACCAGCTCTGATGGACAAAACATTAGGATGCATGATTATTTCTTTCATGTTACATTGAACTGTATCAGGTGGGTCACCCACCAGTTCTGATGGACTAAACATTAGGCAGCTTGACTACTTATTTCGCGTCACATTGAACTGTATGAGGTGTGTCACCTGCCAGTTCTGATGGACAAAACATTGGGGTGGGTGATTATTTCTTTCAAGTTACATCAAACTGTATGAGGTGGGTCACCGGCCATTTCTGATAAACAAACATTAAGCTAATTGCCTCAGCATTCTGACAAATTTCTTGCAAATTTAGTGAGACCTCGGTGCAACCTCTCATTCCACTTGCTGGCGGTTTCATTATGGCACAACCTTTATCATTGACCGTTCTGTCATCCACCGGTGTTAACGTTTTCACTGGACATGACATTTGCAAACATAGTTGAACAATTTTAAATGGGCAAATGCACTATTCCCTGATGGTGAGTTCTTTTCTAGCTGTTGGCGTAACAGAAATACCAGCAAACCAAAAATTATGAAGCCACAATTTCAAAATATTTATTCAGAGTAGGCCTTACCCTCACAACTCACTGCGCGTCTCCATCAGCCAGCTGAAGTGATCTTCTTTCCACTCGCCAAATTCATTGGGGAGACTTGACACAACTGAATTTTTCTTGAAGAACTGGCCAGGGCATCCTCTACAAATACTGCTACTAAAATGAAAATGTAGACAAACAAGGTTAAAATACTCAGGTTTAAGTTAACATCTTAGCTTGCCAAAAAGTCAAAGACTTGAAGTAGAGTTTGGATTTTTCAGAATAATCTTTACTTTGCCAAAACTTAAACAAAAGGAACTTGCACTAAACTCAACTGAAATTTTGCAGCTAAATTGAAACTGCACATGCCATCTTATATACGCATGACTGTGCGTACATAGAGATTTCGTTCATGATGGCTCAATAGGAATTAGATAGGACTAGTGCGTGTTATGCTATAATGACTTCTTTTACATGTAGTTATTAATGAATTCCTCTCTAGATCCCTTAAGGCCAGTTTTCACTAGTGATGGAGTGGTAGTCAGGGTTGTCATTAAGGTTTAACTCGCCTGTAGCCTTAATCTTCACACCCATAGCAAAATTGTTACTTTATGGGTGAATTGTATCAACTACAGGCAAGTCCACTCATAACATCAAGGGTCCATCAAACATACTCAGCCGTAACAGGTGTTACAGGTTTTGGCCCTTATTGACAGCCCTTGTAGTCGGAGTGGCAATCAGAAGCATAGAGCAATATGATCTAGTGAAAATCAAACTGACGAAATTGGAAGCAGAGTTTCGATTGTGTGCGTGTACATTTGGCCCGATAGAGGGGTTAGAGGAAATTTGTTTGTAATGAGTGCCCTCACTCACCTTTTTCTTTTTGCAATGTACACATAGGAATGCACCTAAAGCTGTTTGCCCAGTGGATAAGCAGGAGTTCCTGGTGCAAGAGGTATCTGTGTTTGTGATTTAAGCTTACCTATTGAAATTAAAACCTTGTAAATTAAGAGCTGTGGGCTTGGGTCTTAAACATTCAAGTCTGCATTTTGACTTGAGACTCTTGTGTCTCATTTATCAGTACAGCCATTTTACACCTTCCTATCTCCCTCTTGATAATATAGCTCATTAAAAAAAGCAATGCCAACACCTTGGGGCATCTGGTCTAACGGCTTAACCACAAACAACATGTATAAAAAGTTAAAGCTCCTTCACATATTACTTGACAAAACTGTCAAATTTTCAAAATGGTGGTAAAATAAAAACTATGAGAAGCAAATGATTAATATGTTCAGATTTTGTCTTTTCAGCTACTACTTCAATGATTCCTGGAAATAAAGATGATTAAAGCAATTTGCTCCTAGATCTTTCTGGCAATTTGTTACATTTTTTTTCTCTCTCAAAAATTCGCTCTGAGGTAGTTAATTTAATTTGTATTTCACATTGTGGAGTGATAAATTTGTCTTATAATTATCAAGAGTTTCCTAACACGTATTCTCAGCATTTTAAAATATATACAGAAGGTCTTCTAATAATTAAATTTTAGACTTCAACCCTCCAAGTTAACTTTTTTCCTTAGTGGCCATTTGGCCACTGACTGTTCAGGTTTGGTCGCCAGTGAAAAATTTTAGTCGCCAAAATATATGCATAAATTAATAATTAATTAATTAGCTCTTATTAACCGAGCAGGAGGTCTGTATGGGAGAATCTTGACCGAGGTCGTGAATACAGACCGAATGCAGTGAGGTCTGTACACA